CCCTTTCTTGGGGGTCACACAGGTGATATCAATGCAATGGTTGATATAGCAATGTTAATTGTGTATTTGCACATGACTGGCATGATGTGCGGGCAAATTGATGCAATGTACCAGTACCAGAACGTGCAAATGCAAAATCTCGGTTCTATGTGGTTTCAAACACTGATTTTGAACATCAACTTTTTCCGTCAGAATTATGTCTCTTTTTTGTTCCACGAAAGCTATAAAAAATAACCCCCAAAATGTAAATAAAAATGATATACTCAAAGCAGTCAAGACTTTTATTTGTATACTCTATCCCTTTATACTGTATATGTAGCCCTACATGTATAAACACACAAAGAGAAAGCATTCCTAATTTACATTGCAAAACCCTTCTTTAAAATTAACCAAACAAATTTCTTTTTTGAATAAATTAAAATATTTATATAACTCGGATGAACATGTCCAAATAAGGTTGTTATCGCCACTGATAAGATTTCTTTGCTCTTAGTTGATTACACAATCATTGGAATTTTCTTGGGTCTTGCGTTGAATATTTTCTATAGTTAATTAGATTAAGCCCGCTACGGCGGGTCACGTGATAATTTGGTAGTCATTCACACATGTATATAAACGCAGCGAAGATTTGGGAAAGCGAGTCGCTGCCACACCCTCGCCGAATACGGACCGTCGTCCTTCTCAGTAGCCATTTCTGTGAGTAATAGATTATTTGTTTCTTTATTAAACATCCTTGGGCATTTATAGCTGTATTAAGTTATATTCTGAGTGATTTTGGGCGTAAATTTTGGTGCTAGTTTCTCTGTATTTACTTGTGTATTTGGCCTGAATTTGACGACCGATATACACCATGTACACACGGCCGCCATGTTTAATGCACATGTGTACATCGTACATTGTAGACTTGCATTAGTCCTCTCGCTACAATTACGACTGGGGCATATTGATATTGGAATTCGGGCTTCGCCAATTATTGTGAATATTTATTGTAGTTATTAATTGTGTAATTCCAGGAGATGCCGTAACCCCAGGATACCCCTGCGACTCCCACCGTGTGTACACCCGTAGGCATTTGTTCCTGCATACGGCTTGTGAGTCAACTTATCAACTTATAATTAAACACTTTAAATATTTGTGATTTGTCTTTAATTAATACCCGTGTGTGTAATATTGTTTATTCTGGGTGTAATTAATAGTGATTCATGTACAATGTACTTATTTCATAATTTACTAAATGTCATTTACACAAATGTACATGTAATTTAATTTCAGTTTTCACCAGCTCTTCAAGGAGATATGTGCAATAAAAAAGGGGACATACATGTAGACAGCAACAACTGGTCTCGTGTAGAGCTTATTTTGGTGTACGCGGTGACAAAGGTTACAATGGAGGGCAAGATGATCCATGTACATGTAACATGTGTAAAAGCATATGGCATGTGCATACTGTATTAATTCAAGTCAGTGTCAGCTATTCTTTGATGCAGACAAAGTTATGGTGGTTGTACATTTTAATTTGATTCATTTCAAGACACAAGACTCATCCAAAAAACAATTGCAAGTTTATTACTTTGTAAAAGGTGCAGACTCCTTGTACAGTGGAACGCCGCTATAACAAACATCGCGGAATCCACAGAAAATGTTCTTAATAGCGATCGTTTTGGTATTTAGCGATTTTAAGCTGATAGTGCCCTACTTGAAGTGCGCCCTCTTTTTACTAGATTTAAGTGTTTATTCATTTCCCCCTTTCTTGCCGTTTCGATGTTCAAAACTGTTTCTTAAAATGTACTTTTAGAGATAAGATTAGATAAGATTAGATTGAACTTTTTTCCCCTCACGAGGGAAATTAAATTGGCCTTGACAAAGAAGGGGTTATAAAACATACAATCATTAATTAAAAAGATGTAAAAGTGCAAAAGTAACCACAAACTTATAAATCTAGTTATTACATGTAAAAAACAAACTGCTACACATACATGTATACACATAATAACATTACGTTAATGAGGGATCAGAGTAATAAGCCACACGACAGCTCATCGTTACAGTTGCTCATTGTACTATTTGATAGCTGCTGGAATGAATGAACTGCCATATCGCAGTGTCCTGATCCTTTGTTGTAAAAAGCGGTTACTTCTGGAGTTGGTGTGGAAGTCGGCATGTAATGGGTGATGTGAGTCAGGGAGAACTGTCTTAATTTTATTGCACATAAGAGTTGTAAACCAATAGCTTTACTGGCTTGCTTAACTATTCTGTCTAACTTAATTAAAAAATTTATTTTAAGTAACATTTTTATTAAGAAATTGCTATAAAGTTTATATAAAAAGTTGTTCATTTATAAGGCTTTATTTTTGAAGATTGTGGTTGTAAAGTTGTATTAATTAAAATTGTGAATGAAGAACTTAATAAAATCGGCACAATAAACAAAACCAATACAGAGAAAATGAGAGGAGTTGGAAAAAGGGAGCAGAGTGGCTGGGATGAAGGTATGTTTTCTATTTTTTATTTTTAGTTTCACTTTCATAAAAACCTTTAGTTTTCAAAATCTAAGCTTTGAGGGAAAAAACCCACTACAGCAGTTTTCACCAGAGGATCTCATATCAGCGGCGCCCACTTTTGACCAATAGTGAACTGGTATTTCTCACATCCAGCGGCCACATGCAGAGTCGTTACAAAACTTCAGCAACGGGCAGCTTTCCCTTCTATTCTTTGGGGAAATACAAGCCACCTATCACTCTTTAACATTCAAACATGATGTATATTGGTCGTCTGACGTTCAGAATAAAAAAAAAAATGGCCCAAACAGGGTTTAACCCATTCAACTCCGCCCTGTGTAAAATCGATTGCCGGCGATCGAAAATTTCTGAGTATTGTATTTTGTGTTTGCCGCCCTCTTTTGACTCATGTTTGATACCATTTTTTTAGCTTTATACACTGGCTACCCAATGGCGTCTTTTCTTTTTGCATCTGAACGTTACGCTTTCACAGGTGAGGTGAAACAAATGCCAGACTTCTGTTGTTTACCGCGCGTGGTTTGTTATAACTGTTCACGTTCCTCATGTACATACAGTGAATTCAAGTACGCTCTTTGTCACTTCTTTTGCCCTAATTTCTGCCTAAATCTGCCTGGGGAAACTCCTAAAAAAAACTGCAGATAACAAACAACCCAAGAGGAACTTGGTTGACAAAAATGTTTTAAATCTTCTTGATTCGGGCAATGAAAATAAAGAGAAAGGAGACCTTGACAGCAGTAGACATTCTGAACGACATGCGATGTAGTAGGCCTACAAGTACAGTGATGGACGTAATATCTTTCCAATATTTTTTGTTGGCATAAAAGCCATGATAATCATGATATTTGAACAATATTCTAAATGCCATGTCACTATTTATGCAAGGAAACATTTTCCAAAAACTCAGTGGAAAGCATTTATTTGTGTTTTTATACAAAAATTTGTGATTTTTGGTCTCATGGAATAGTGAATAAATGATTGTGCAAAATACTTCAAAATTCATACATTTTGCACCAAAACCGCACTATTTGTGTCCTTTTGGGTCGGTTACTATGACAACCATAAATGCACACAATTGCTCTCTCGAGTGTTTTCTCATGAAGTGAGAGTCGTATTTTGTAGTGATGCATTCGAAAATCTCCTAGCAGATTGTTTTCATAATTTTTTGGCCAAAAATCCACAAAAATGGATTAAAACATCCCAAAATTCAAGTTTAAAAATGGCCGCCATTGAGAGGGGGTTCACATTTTTTAAAACCTTTTTTCCCGAAATTGTCGATTGCCTAGCTCACATTCTTTCATTTGGTAAATAACTTAACCCACACAAAATAAAAAATACTGATGAAAAAGGTGCAAGAATTCAACTAAGTCAAAAAAACTCAAAATTAAGGCTGAGTTTAAAGGGTTAATATATATTTTGTAACGCGTAGTTTTTTTATAAGTCTGTTGAATTTTTCAACAACAATGTTTGGTATGTTTTATACACAAATCTGGGAGCCAAGGATGATGTTTGGTATAGCCGAATGTTCGGTATAGCGGTGTTCCACTGTACTAGGTGAATTTTCTGGTACCACTCTAGTAAAATTCTTGAGGATTTCAATCCAGCCAGAAAAAACACTGAATTAGACACCAGCCATAACACATTGTGGTTTCCTCTAGTAACTTTCAAATTGGCCAAACAAATACACGGTCCCAAAAAAACGGTCCTCTGTTGTAAGTTTGTGCCCTAAGTCTATGGTAGAGTGTTATATTACAGGGACAAAGGGAAACACAAAGCATTGTCCTCGGGAGTACAGTAAAACAAAAGTGGGTGCGTGTATTGAGGAACATGAGACACATGGCACAGACCAGACTTTTTGGACTGTGTTGCAACGACAATTACGTGACGAAGGACCCAAGTGGTCCAGATATGGTGCAACATGCACACTAATGTTAGACCATGAGGTTTTCTTTCAGATAACAACAGAAAGAAAAAAATAACTGGCTGATAAAAGCCTGTCGGCTGATAAAAAATTGCCTGTCGGCGATTTTTACCAATTTTGATCGGAAGTAGGTATGGTAATATTTTTTGTCAAATTTTCGTGAAATTTCATGTTGAAATTTTGATACGCAAAATGTGTAAAAACGAATCTGGAAATTTCATGAAAAATAGACATCTGAAAAAGGCAGCACTTTCTGATTAGCCTATGAAGAGGGTGAATATGCTTCTAAAGCAAAAATAAACTACAAACTAAGCCTAAATGTGAAAATCAAAATTTGACAAAGTTCGACATGGTTTTGTACATGGTGGAAGTGTGGCCTTTATTTACGGAGGTAGTCCAGTAAATTGGCCACATTTATGGGGCTAGCCACTATCAAACAAAGAGAATGATGTGTCATGCTGCTCATGCACAAATCAAGTCACTGAAAATGGCCACAGTATGAAGATCAAATCTTCTATGTCAGACAAACATGCACAGGAAGGGTACATGTAAGCTTGCAATCCTACCTCAATATAACCTCGATTACAGGCAATATCACGTGCTGTTCCCTCCGAACATCTTTTGTGAATATCAGCTTCAGCATTTAGAAGACATTCAGCAATACTGGTGAATCCTTGATTGGCAGCATAACAAAGTGCCTGAACAAAGTCATGAAAATATCAGGTAAATACATTTTTCACCACTTAACGCTGGAGGATGTGTAAACATGATCTGGCAATGTATATTCACAGGCGCAGGTGACAGGTTAAATTGTCACGTAAAGAGTCTCCGGCAGTTGATGTGTATAGACGTCAGTGGTTTTGTACAGAGTGTTGCAAAATATGAAGTTACGGTAAGAAGTATCGTACAAGTATTGTACAAATAACTCTCAAGGGTCAGTATTTGTGGTGGTTGACTTATTTCTAAAATTCGGCCGATACCCGGTATATGTCAAGATTGTCTTTTTCATAAATGGTGTTTTTCAGCCACAAAAAAAAAAAAACAGGGGCCAAGCCATTAAGTTTAAAAATGAACTTTATAAAAATTTACTCTCAACGTTTTATAATTACTTCTTGTAACTGTGGAGATGGTAAGATGATTCAAGAAAAAGAATGGGTTTGAGGCTCACAGACACAATTGAAAATTGTGGTCCATCAGTCACCCATGAAACCTTGTCACCCCCCCCCCAGTTGCCCCCCCCCCCCCACTGAGATTTTGAGTTTCTAAAAAAATTATCATTGATCTACATGACGCCCCCCATGGAATGTTCCAGGCCCCCCCCCCCCCCCCCCCAGCGCACCCCCACTGAAAAATTCCTGGCTAAGCCACTGTTTATTGACTCTAAATCGAGTATTCGTGAATGGGTATTGGCAGCGCTGGCAGTATTGCTGGTGCACATTTGTTACTGTTCAATTCCTACTGAATACTACAAGAATACCAGCGAAATAAATCGCAACCTTCTTTCCATGGGCTGCATACGCGTTGATCACACGAGGCATTTTCTAACTAACAAGGCGCAGAAAGATCATATCCATGGGGAAGAGGTTGTGAACATCACTCTTTGTTGGAAACGCGTTACATTCTCTGGCGCATGGCGGCGAGTTCGATCCAGACGTAGACATGTCTTCTTCGTCAGAAATTATATCTTGGGGTTAAGAGATCACAAGAAATATTTCGCTAACGGACAGAAGCAGCACAGCGCAGTATGCAAGTCATGTGGGCTGCAAATCAAGAATTCCAAGCAAAACAACACTTTTTAATATGTGTACGTGCTACTGTATATGTGTACTGTGTGCGATATTTTTGTACTTGTACTCGGCACATACTCGGACTCTGGAAAAACTCGAACTCGGATTTTTGGCCCAGGACTCGACTAAAAAGTACTTGGACTCGGCCCGTACTTGGCACTGTGTACTCGGAAAACTTGGTACTCGAGTTTTGGTACTCAACTACAACACTGTTCATACATGTGTACATGAGCTGACTTACATGTAACACATCAGTCCTTCATGTAGCTCCATGAAACAACAATGTTATCATGATTATTGGCAATTATATTGGGAGTGCTACATTTTCATTCCATCTCTCGTGTTCATGTATATGTTTGTAGTTACTCCTGAATCTTTTTCAATAGAAAGTTTGAGGACTTCTGAGGGCAACGTAGTTAGTTTTTCAACCTGTATTACTTGTAATGGAATAAGATAACAATATCTACACCATAAACATTACAAAAAAGACATCCCCAAAGAAGTACAAACAAATCTGTGGACCCGTAGGAATAGTTTCCCCTATTTAAACACAATTGTAGGCCAACTTACAGTACATGTACATGTACACACACTCTTGTGGAGACATTTCTTGTGGAAGCAATTTGGTATTCTTATTCATCGAAGGAGCCCAGAATGTGTGCATACTACCTGAGCGCGACTTGCGTGAGCGTGGTGTCACCGCAGAAAATGGCTGCCCAGATTTGTCTATAAAAACATTGAAAGTTTCTCACCGTCCATCCTCGGTTGTCTTGTCTGTCTGTCTGAGCTCCAAATTCAAGTAATTTCTGCACTGCACTCAGGTTTCCATTTTTTGACACAAACATCAGAGGTGTCATATGACTTCTGGAGCATAAAACACAAAGAGTATATTTTCAAGGAGATGACAGTATAATTCTGGCCTCGCGTGCCACATCACCTACAGGTTGCCAAGTGATTGACTCGATTTTGGATGAAACTGTACTTCATAATAACTCATGACAAATTGTAAGTAATTTCTAAGAAATATGTATGGTCCTTTGAATTGCACAGCTCTCCCTTTTTTTTCAAAGTTCTTGGTTGTGTAAGTGAGCCAGATTAGGGAACACTCAGCCAATTTCGTGTCCAATTTCCAGATGCCAATGTTTCCGAATTTCAGACTAAATTTCATGACAATGAAATTGTTCACAAAGGTTCAACAACAAGAATTATTAAGGTTAAAGTACCAGTATTTAACTGAATGAAGTTTGTCAACAAAGAGGTTCCCCCAACAGAAGTGTGGATGGGGTCTACGAACGAATACTTACCTGTAGAGCAATCTACTTAGATGCATATTTCCCTGGACTGGTAGGTATTTGAGAGTTTACAAAGTAGCGCCCTTTTGTGTCCCACTCATAGTGCCCCACAGCATGTATGCCTGGTGAGCGTCCTCTTTTCTCGAGTGCCAGGTTGGAGTCTACGTCACTCTACTTACCTGTAGAGCAATCTACTTGTGCATTGCACCGCGGTGAAGGCGGTGGGTCATTCGAGATGCTATTGTATAATTACAGGGGCACATGTTATATGAGGCGTAACCCTTGGCGGGCCCCACTGTTCCACATGTGGGTGAACAAGCGAGCCCAGATGCCCTGTATGCTAAGGATATTAACCGCACTCAGTCTGGCAATAAGAGCACCGTTCATACAACGTCCTGCTTATAACAAGGAATAATTTAGGTCCCAAGACCTTGTTTTTTCTTTGTCTCATACTGATAATACAAGATACCTGTTATAACAAGGTAATTGTAAAGTCCCAAGGTCCTTGTTTTAAAGATGATTTGACTGTAGCAGCCTGAACATGCTAACTGAGACGCGTACCTCGTGATGTACCACTTCACAGCCCTGACTTGGCACCCAAATTTGTCGTCTGGAACGGACGAGAAAGATTTGATGTCCCGGACAAAGATGTCCGGAGGCGAAAAGGACTCTGACTGATTCTTAGACAAAAAAACATTTTAGGGGTCAGACGGACACCCCCCCCCCCCCCCCGGTTCCCAACGGATGCGGCTCGTCTCTGTTGTAAAGGAATGCAGTTTGCTACGTCGTGTGGCCGAAACACTGCTAAAAAGAAGAAGGCAACTTTAATGGACAATTGTAACAAAGTTGAACTGCCCATTGGTTCAAATGGAGATCTTGATCAAACGTTAAAGAGGTCCCATGTAGGCACCAGCCTTTGTGTCAGGGGGCCTGAAACAAACATCCCCCTGACTAGTTGGCTGAGAGCTAGACTCTTTGACACCGAAGTTCCATTCAGGAAGCCTTCATGAATAGCCGCTATTGCCATATGTTAATTTTTTAATTGCGGCTATAGCAAGGTTACTTTCTAACAAGTTCACCAGAAAATATGCAACCTCCCCAACAGAAGTATTGGGGGGACACAGAGCTCGGCTTCTACCCCCAATTTTCTTTTTTAAATGGTGATCTACTGTCGCAAATTTTTCTGGTCGATGCTCTTCGACTGCAAGCTACAATAGCCGCAGCTCATTGAGAAAGGCCTGCCGTGCGGAGGGATTGCGTGAAAGCACCCAGCATGTCAAGTGCAGTTCCTGCGGAGCCAGATAAAGAAAACCAAGCCGGGCTGGAACAGAATGTCCGCTCTCCACGGAAGTACCACTGGCTGGTGAACCAAGAGTCTGGTAAGTCTTGAGAACCATGGTTGGAGGGGCTAGAAGGAAGTTGTGATGAGGACCTTGCAGTTCTCCTGCTCCAGTTTGGTTAGTACCTGAGGGATGAGGGAGAATAGGGGAAGGTGTAGGCAAGCAGCCTGTCCCACTGAATCGCCAGTGCATCTGTCTGCCATGCACAGGGGTTGGGTCTCGCGCAGTAGACCGGTAATTGGTGTGTGTTCCGAGAAGCAAACAGATCAATGTGTGATCAGTCGATCAGCAGAAAAAGCGACGTTCCCCTCGCCCAGAGGTGCACTTCTGAAAGCGTGACATTGTGACGCATACACCAATATAGGAGATACCATGTGAGTGCACACAGCTGGGCAGACCTTGTGCCCCCTGGCGACTGATGTAAGCCACAACTGTGGCATTGTCGTATCGAATCTGGACTAATAACCCGAAAATGTTGAAGAGCATTGGAGACTGCCAACATCTCAAGTACGTTTATGTGGCTTGAGCGGTGTTTAGGGTCCCATCAACCTGCTTGTGTGCCTCGTCTTTAAGAACGCGGGGGTGGAGGGCGGCCCCCCAGACAGAAAATGACGCGTCTGTCATGATGGTCAGTGACAGCCGGGGCCTGCGAAAGGCACCGTGGTCGGCACCAGATGATTTATGTGGTGACGACTGGGCCGGTAAAAAGACAGTAGGTGCAGTTGGATTGGGTGCATTCTCAACCTGCAAAAATCTATGACGTCCACCATGGTGGCCATGAGGCCTAGCAACCAGAGCCAGGCTTGAACCGGGGCCACCGTTGCCGGAAGGAACAGGGACATGCACTGTTGAAGGTTCAAGACACGTTACTCTGAAGGACAGGCCAGACCCCTTCTGGAGGACAAGTTGCGCTCCCAGAAATATTGGGAGCTGGGAAGGAAGCAGGTGGGATTTCGCGGTGTTGATGATAAATCCGAGGTCCGACGTGAGACGCCATGTAAGCAGTGGCGTAGCCAGGAATTTTTCAGTGGGGGGGGGGGGGGGGGGTGGGGAGGGGGGGGGCGCTGGAACATTTCATGGGGGGGGGGCGTCATATAGATCAATGATAATTTTTTTAGAAACTCAAAATCTCAGTGGGGGGCGACTGGGGGGCGACAAGGTTTCATGGGGGGCTGTCGCCCCCCACGGCTACGCCACTGCATGTAAGGCCGAGCATCACAGCCATGTACTCCCTGTGGACCCATGATGATCCAGTCATCCAGCTACATGAATATCACTCTGCATCTTTGCAACGCGGTCCCAATTGTCTTCACTATCTTGGTAAAGACCAGGGGAGAAGTGGAAAGGCCGAATAGGAGCGCTGTCGTCATGTTGTGATTTTATATAGGTTTTTGAAATTTCGAAGATTATCCCCATATCTTTCGAACCCAACATGCTCAAAATTCTGTTTGTGTTAGGTTTGTTAGGTAAAAGGTATCTGCACACAATTTTAAAAATATGTGACGTCACAATGACATCATAAAAAAATATGATTTTTCAAAACACATACATGTACCGGTCATGTATAAGGGCAAGTCTGATTGTCATGAAACTTACTTGAAGAACTGATGACAACTCTACAGAATTATTTTCTAGGAAAACTAATACATTGTAATTGGATAGAGTAAAAAACATGTCTATCTCGCCTGCTTTGGTAACAGAAAAGAGGCAGATTATGTATGGCAGCGACGCCGTGTGGCATCATGGGTGGGCGCCAAGAGGAGTATTATTGACCTATCGCCGTTTGCAAGTTAGCCACGCCCCTTAGACAACCCTATGGAATTTTTGTACACTAAGTTTTGTTTGTCTCAGATTTTGTGCGTTCCGCGTTCATTTGAATATCATGAAATTGGACAATATTTCACAAGCTACGTTGATGCCATTCTACCGTGATAGGTCAAGTTAGCGAATTGGACTGCCAGCAAAAGGAAATATGCAAATGTAGTTGGGTAAGATGAACGAAGTAGGATGCTGATTTTTAAAACTTTTCCTTTATACACATTTTTCGTGCATGATACAGATATTCTTTTTAAGAATATCTGAAAATAAATGGACGTGACTACCCATACCTGATGATGACTCAGAGCTATTAAAATATGAGTTGAAGAAGTCATCAACTCATTCAAAAAATAAAAAGCACACTTAAAAAATATTTGAAAGCTCATTCTGCCGATTTAGACAATTTTTCTTTTCCTTCCTTCCTTCCTTCCTTTCAAGTGCTACCTTCATGTGGTTGAAGATAAACGCACTGCCAGAAACACAGGGGCAAACCCCTTCTCTGAGTGTTAAGTCTTACTGGATTCTTTTAACGTGCATACTCACGGGACCTACAGCTTAACACAATAATGGTTAAGTGTCTTGCTAAAGGCCCTGTCACACTGTAACATCCATGCATGGCGTTCATATTGCTTTGTTGAAATTCTTAAACATGCAACAAAACGTAATGAAGACGCAGGATTCATGGCGCCAGTGGCTTGCAATGCATCTCTGTGAAGCCCACCACAAGTCTAAGACGTCCCTGTGGCATTCCATAGTGTCCTTGCGGAGTTCTCCATGAGTTCCATTGAAGACCAATTAGAGGTCTGCGCAGCATCCTCTGCGTCCTCGCTGCGTCCTCATGGTGTCCAATAAGTTCGTACGACGTTCCTGGAGTCCTTATCGCGCACTCGATGCGACCTTAAAACGTATGTGTGACGTCGGCAGCCAGGAGCATGGCATATATATAAATACTCGTGCCAAAACGGGCGATAGTCATTGAGTATACACATTTTGAACGGCATAGACACAGGAGACGCAGAGGAGACGTGCAGTCCTGATGCATGCACATCCGTGGAGTTCTCACAACGTCGCTCCCGTCTGCCTGCGCATTGTCATTACGTCACGGCCGTTCGCGAGGAGCTCGCGCAGAGTCCTTACCGCCTTCTTTTCAAAACGCCAAGGTGTGGCGTTTGTTTTGTGCATGTTCAAAACGAACGTGGCAGTTTGTAAAAAATGGGAATTCCAGATGAAACCGAAAAGTTTCATGCCTTTGTATATAATAAAAAGCTCAAATTAAGAAGTTATGAAACTAGGGCTTCGGTCAGAAAATGGAGTTTTAAGTTTTATGACATGAATTTATACCTTTCATGCACATTCGGACTAGCATCTCTCTCAAGCAGGATGGTTAAACATGAAGTCACATAATGCTCCTCCTGTACACTAGATGCAGCAGCAATTAGGGGAGTGTACATATCTGTGGGATAACAAAAAAAATTAAGTTTGACTTGTTTGATTTCATAAAATGGAACATGGTGAAACTTTATAATTTGGTACTTTTGCTCTAAATACAATTCAAGGAACGTTTGTCACTCAACGCCTTGCGCTCTCATACAGACATTGCCATCAAGCAAGCAGATAATGACTCAGCTGTGGTCATCAAGGATAATCAGCAGTCAATCAACAAGGCCCATCGCCAGTTGGATAATCATCTGCCTTGAGTCTGATCTCAAAGGTACATTCTGTCAGGAGATACAACAGGTGCTGGACGATAAACAATCACATGACCAGCTGCCATAAATTTGTTTCCAACGGACTGTTGTAGGACTGCCAAATTTAATATTTTTTTCCAACCTTCACAATGCCAGTAACCTCAGTAGGTAATGGTTATGGTTCACCCTAGGAAGGCATCTTCCTATTTATTGACAGTTTTCTCAAACACCTTGTCCCACAGATTTTATCGTATATTCAAGACACCCTAGACTTCCTACGCAAGCTATAAGGAATCAAGGACCAGATTCTCAGCACAGCCATCATTGGGACGTGCTGGCCAGCACAGCACCGTGCTGGCCACAGAATTATCTGTTTGTAAATTTGTATTATGAATCATCTGTTTGTAAATTATGTTTACAAATATAAAAATGTAAAAATCCATAATAAATCACCTGATTACTTTATCATGAGGTCACTTCAACTTAAATACTAACAGCCTAATATTTACGAGCAAACAAAGTTTTAACCCAGTCGGACTTGTTCTCTAGATATAAGACATTGAAAAATGCACTTTTAATGCAACGTCACATAAGACGTGATGACGTCATCAATACGTCACTTTACCATACAAACCTTTACTTGATGGTCTTTGTCTGTACAAAGTTTGGGGTCGATCTGATTACAGATAAGGTCAAATTTTGTATGAAGGAAAAAGTTTTAAAAAAAAAAAGAAAAAAAGAAAAAGAAATTGATGACATCATCGTGACGTCATTTCACGTTTTGCATAAGAGTATCATTGTCTACCTACCCACCAAGTTTCATGACGATCAAAATATCCCTGATATATGTGTTTTGAAAAATCATATTTTTGATGACGTCATCATGACTCACACATTTGTGTGCAACTTTGTATGAACTAACAAACCTATTACAATTTTCTTTTTGAATTTAGCATGTTCTCTTGATGAGATAAGGCTTTAAGGTTCAAAAACAAACAAAAATCATAAAATATTACATGATGCCATCATGACTTCACCTCCATTTTGAGCTATAACACATCCCAGTCTAGATACATACCAACTTTTAACCCAATCGGAGCCAGGGCTCGATTTACAAAAACAAAGTGGCATGCACTGGTGCATGTAGACCAAAAACCCTACATGCACCAAGAAAAACCCACATGCACCATAATTGACTTACACCGTCTGCTTCTCTGAAGGCATTCTTTCTCTTTGAAATTTATCGAACTTTCGACAGACAGTACAGTACATAGCCTTTTTTACTCTATCATGCTCAAGCCTATATAGACCCATGAACGTGGCAAAGCCACACTGTTGTGGCATTTCGAACATGGCGAAATCGATCCGCCATACATAATTTCGTACATATGTTCAGTACTCGCCTAGAAATCTAAATTTGCCTTCCCGCGTGTTCAGGATGTGTCATTTCGACGAAATTTGACATCGATGAAGACCCATACGAACGTGTAGAAATTAGATTTTAACCTGACAAGAGACCCTGACAAATGACCCTGGACATTTGCGTGCAAAATATGTGGCGCCATATGATAGGCGGCGTCAGATTGGCCAATAACGAGACCACGTGATAAACGCAGCTAATAATTTGGAATCGCACTTACGATCCGGACATAAGGAATGCCCGGAGCATCAGTGCGATACCAAATTATCTGCAGCATGTATCACGTGGTAAATCACATGCATGATCGGAGGAGGTTGCAGGACGTACATCGAGATCTTGAATTTTACCTCGTACTCTGAATCTGCTGCGACTGTGCGAGCATGGTGCGAGGAATAATTTATGGATTTATAAAAGAAATAACACGTTTGTACACTATCTGGTCAAGTATTCAACAAACTTTATTCTTAATCTCACTCACTGGTAAATATATGCATGAAATGAGTATTTTGTTGGCTAAAAAAGTTATATGCACGTCGTGCATGCTCAGTAAAAAAGCTACGTGCACAAGCAAAAATCTACATGCACTGGTGCATGCGTGCACCGGGTAAATCGAGCCTTGAATGGAGCTGTAGTTCTGTAGATAAAGGCCTTCAAAATATGCACATTTAATGTGCCGTCACGTGACTCGTGATGATGACATCAATGTTCGGCACTTATCTCCGGGTGCTGGTCTAAGTGCGTCGATTGATCTTAGTTCCCAAAGTGCCACGCACGGAGAAAACGTGTACATATGTTATGGGAATGGCTGAAATAGGGGAAAAAATATAAAATAAAAATCTTAACGAAAACCAAGGCTGTTTTGGCAAGTTGCTGAAACAGCCAAAACTAAATAAATAAAATGAGGAAACACCCTATGTTCTGCTCATCGGACACTAGTCTTTAAGTTTTTCCTCAATTGTGATTTGTTACAGATGATCCTGGCTAACCCGGGATTTAACACCTCCTTTAACACCCTCCTTCCCCATTCAAATTAACCCCACATTTACTACTACTTCCCTCCTGCATCATCACTTCCTTCTACCCCCTATTGATCCTTTCCCACCAGGGTGCAACCCTGCATTAAAATTCCCATAGACACTAGTGCTAAATGCCCATACTTCAAAATTCTTTTTAAAAATACTCAGAACTCTCACAGGTATTTTTAAAAGCTGCACAGAAAAATGATGATCAACATGTCATCTTTCATTTTCTTTTCATTTTTTGGTGGGTTGACCATTGACTTTTCAAGAAATTCTCGCCCAAAGAAGACGACCCCTATTTTCCCCAAAGCGGAACGGTAGCCATCTTGAAAAACGATCCCTCCACAACATGGCAAAATAACGCCACTTTTGAGCTCAAATTGCAATTGAGCTGGAAGCCCCAAGTCCGGGCATCTCTTTAATTCCCCAATGTTATGGCTCTCAGAACTCTCTAATATAACATATTTTGAGGGTAGAACTTTTATACATGAGCTCGGCGGATAGATTTAGGCTTATTTACCGGTGTACACCCTTTAATAGGCCTGAAGGTTTGAAATGCCAGTTATTTATATTCCAACAAAAAAATTGGAAAAGAAAAAATTATTCCAGATCGATATTAGGCCTGAAAGTAGGCTTTATGCGCCTGCTAGCTGTAGAGCACCCTCAACGACAGTAAATCAATTTTCAGCTACTTTGAAGCTCAGAATGCCCCCTTTTTAAAATCACTATTGTTTTTAATCTTATTAATGGCAAAAAAGTTGAGTCATTGAGATATCATTTTAATCATTTAAAGCAACTGATTCAACTTAAAACCCTGCGAGTGGCGAAGCGTAAAAACTTACGCGCGGCCATGAGGTGCTCACGCGTGAGGCAGTTTTGATTTCGCGTATAAAATACTATTTTGTGGACACAATCCTTTCTCTAATGGTTTAAATATTATGAATGCAGGTTGTCCCGAACCCACACAAGATTGAATCCCCTCCAGTAGGTCACTCACAGACATTGTGGCTGCACAGTCATGTACATATACACTGCATGCACTGTGACCATTACAGGTTGGATCCCCCAACATGTAATGGCCAGCAGTAGAGGATGATTGATGGCATTGTTGTGACGGCGCTCAACTAGGCAGTAAAACACAAAGAACTTTTTTTGTGCACAAGTGAATGGGCTTTGGCTGGAGGCCCAACTTTCCCAGGGGTGGCTGACCCCAAGTGAACTCCTACAAGAAAAGCGACCATACCATCTCAAACCACAAGGTTCACTTTAAGATTACATGTAGTTTCAAGGGAATTGGGCGATAGCTTCATACAAAAAAAGGTAAAGGGAATATACATCATTTGCTTTTGCTGTAATTTTCAGAAATGGATGGAATTGGGGGTTGGAAATATATAGCAAATATAGTTTCACTGACTTTTTTGATGTTTTGGGTTCAAAAATGCTATAAAAACCAAGAAAAACAATCATTTTCCTGTAGTCTGGTTCCCTGACTCCATTTAAGAAGAAACAGAGCAGTTTACATACATTGGGGAATTGTAAGGTCAGGGAACGAGTCTAGCTGGCTTGTACCCGTTCATAGGTGTGTAATCGATTGCAAACAAATGCGATGGTCCATTGGGGCCAGTATTTGACAAAAAAAACAGTTTTTTCCAACGCTGGTCGGCCGATCAGCGTCGGAAATTGATACAAAAATACCACTTTTCTTGAAAATGACAGTATACCAGGTGCCATGATTTTACAGGATGCTTTACACTGTCATTCACTAACAGTCCAGCAAGGTATTTCAAAATGATTTGGTAGTTTTATTTTTGATGTTTGCAAATGTTGTATTTTCCCTTTAAGAAACAAAAAAAAGGGGCTCGCGTGCGAGCCTCTTCGCTGCTCTCAGGGTTACAAACTGTAAAACATATTTAACACATTCAAACACCCCTATATGTACACCTACATCAACATCAACTCAACTTGTAGGTTTTGAAAAATTAGCCAAATCATTGTTTTAATTAAAGTTAACTTGCAAGCATGAAAGGGTCATGATTGGGCTTGGAATTTGACAATCATTGGCATGATGGATGGCCACTTTTGACTGGCATACTCCACCGCAGTATCCTTCTCATCATCTGTGACAGACTTGCCTCCTTGGGTGGGATGAATTAGGTTTGTCACGAGATAAGCTGGTGTTATGGGCTGGTTGTGCCTGGATTTGAACTTTTTTGTGACCACCCAGTTACCCATAGGCAGTAGCTTTCCCTCTAATTCTTTCCAGATCTCAACAGCCTCTGCCAACATCAGTGTATCACTTTGTATTTTGTCCAATGCAACTACTAAT